GAACCGAGGGCCAAGGAGGATTCAGCAGAACCTTCCCAAGGCACACCTCGGGAAGGCACAGCAGGGGGCAGGTCCATGCCCACGTGCATGCCCTGTGCTGCCAGCTCTTTCCAGCTACCCAGAACCTCACCTGCCACGAACCAGCATTTGAGGGGAACTCTAACTTATCACAACTTTCTATCAAAGCTCGCACCTTCTCGTTCGGATGTTAACTTGACAAGTGAGGGCCAGCCATGCCCAAGTACATGATCCATCTTTTCTGTATTGATTTCCCTGTGTCATCTGGGAGAGGACTTTTGCTTGGTAAGTGGCAGAAATGGAGCAAAGTGACAGTGTACCCAGCCACATCAGTGCTAAATCAAGCCATTTTCTCTTTTCTTTTCCCTATTAGTGGAGACTTTATTAAGTAAGCCCCACTCCTATACCGAAGAGGCAAATCGAGATGCTCCCTGGTTGGTTGGGTTCTGTGTTTTTACCTAAGTGAATATCAGGACTGCCTGTTTAGGGACATTTATTAGGTGCAGAATGAAAGAACAGACCTCAATATACAAGTGAGGATCCTAGCTCTAGAATTCCCCTGGAGAACTCTACATAAACGTTCATTGTCATCATTGTCTTCGTGCTGGATATGACCACTTAATCGAGCATTTTGTACATCCCAGGCATTTTGCAAGCACCTGATGCTCATTGTCTGTGCCATCCTCACCACCGCCTTCTACAGCAGGGATGTCAGCTCAGAGAGGGTTAGTGAGCTGCCCAGAGTGGCTCTCACCACTGGCCAGCTCTGCAACTAGGATGTGAGCCTGCTTCTGGCTGCTGCCAAAGTCTTATGCAAGGTATCCATTCTGCATTGTGAAAAGGAAAGCTCCTTATTAACTTACGTTTGTTTGGAATGATGTGGCCAAGATATTATTGCCTAAGTCACAACCAATATGTAGTATCTCAGAAGCGTCCGATGGATCATTTAGAGATGAGGATACTGAGGCTCGGTGAGGCGAAGAGTCTCGTCGCAGGCCACGCTGAGGTACAGTGGCAGAACCGGGAACCTAACCTGAGTCTCACACTGTCCAGCCTGGCGGCTGTTGAACTTTGTTTCTTCTTTTCCTGGAAGAAGGAGACCCTCAGTGATGTCTGAGGACCAGAGTGTGTTTGTAGAACAATTGTCCTCCAGCCACAGAGAGACAGACCCTTGTTTCCAGAGCCACCTGCCTGGCAGGTGGGGGCAGCGTGTGGAGCGGCAGCCGTAGCACTGGGGGCCTGGCAAGCCGTGGCCAGGTGGCAAGGGGAAGGTCGCACCAAGGTGATTGTCAGGAGTGTGTTGGTTTCCTGTTGCTGTAGTAACACATTCCTGCAAACTTAGCTGCATGGAACAACACAAAGTTATTATCTCACAATTCTGCAAGTCAGAATTCCAGGGAATTGGGGTTTCACCGGTTTCTCTTCCCAAGGCTGAAGTCAAGGTGTTGGTCAGCCTGGGGAAGAATTCATTCCAGACTCACTGAGGTGCTTGCACAATGCAGCTCTGTGCACGTGTAGGATCTGTGTCTTTATAGCTGGTGGACAAAGGTCATTCTCAGCTTCCACCTGCCTGCCCTCCTGGCCTCATCATCTGCAAAGCCAGCAAAGGGCGGTGGAGTTCTTTTCACACTTTGAATCTCTCTGACCTTTCCTTCTGCCTCATCTCCTCTGTCTCTAGCTGGAGAAAGTCCTTTGCTTTTAAAGGGCTCGTGTGGTTCAGTTCGGTTTCCCTGAGTAATCCAGACGTTCTCCCTACTTTTTGGTCCGTAACCTCACTTCCATCTGCAAAGCCCTCTTTGCTCCATCACACAGCGTATTCACAGGTTCTGAGGGTTGGGGTGCACACACCTATGGGGTTCATTCTGCCAACCGGAAAAGAACACACGCTGCTGACCACGTTTGGTGGTTCGTTTCTGTCCTCGTGAAGAGCGCACAGCGTGGACCAGCGTGTGTGATGGAACCTGGACGGTCCGTGCCGGGCCTCCTGCTTCTGCTCTGGCTGCCCCAGCAGGGCCAACCCACAGCCCATCCGCGGTCCGGGTCTCAGGGCCTTAATCTTAAGATACCTGTCAAAGATCTTTCTTCTGGGACAGTGTTTCAAAAGCCCATTTCTTCTGCTTTCCGTCACTTTGACGTCAGCCTCCATGGTCCTCAAGTTGTTGTTAAGAACCCTGTTGTCTCCCTGGGGCTTCTCCAGAGCATTTCTCGCACACCCTCTTTTATGAACCTACCAGCCCTGGGAGGCCATGAAGATGGTACTGATGCCAATGCAGGTCCTGCTTACAACCCTTGACCAGTGAGGCTCAGAACAGTGAGTGGTTTGTGGGCGTTCACACGGCTGATGAGCAACAGAGCCGGGGGTTAGACATCCCCGTTCCGAGTCCCACCTTCTTCCCTCCACACCAGTTTCCTCTTCCTCCCTTTTCACTTCACTGCGCTCCTCATTTTCCAATGAACCCATCACTTCCATTACCCTGATCGACTCTCTTCAATCCCCACATTTCATTTCAGTTGTGGGCTGCAAGCCGGTTGCTGAAAGCTGCCATTTCATCCCCATCGAGCATTTATGCCCAATTTTTCACAGCTTTATTTGGTTTATCCATGCTAAGTACTGTACCCAGCTGGATTTAATTTGTGGTGATTGCACCCAGAGCCCAGATTCTGTGAGAATGTGAATTTTGCACAGCGTGATCCGATCAGTGCTGCAGACTAGAGATGTGTGGGAGGTAAAAGCTCTGTTATGACTAACTCTTAGCCAATGTCCTCTTTCCCTTTTTTATTACGGTAAAATTGCTGTATAACCAATTAGTTTCAGGTGCACAACATTGTAACTTTATATTTGTGTGCATTACAAAGCGATCGGCACCGTAAGACTGGTTACCATCCATCACCATATACTGTGTCCTCTTTCTTGAATGCGTTTTAAGGCAATCAGAAGAAACAAGCCGAGGGCCATGGGGAAAGCCACCAGCTTAGCCGAGGAAGTCTAATTTATGATTCCGTTTAAGGACTTAATCATTGAACTTGGACAAGTGATAGATGCTGGTGAAGCACAATTAACTCTGAATTGAAAAGAGAAAAGACAACAGTGCAAAGAGGCAGGCTGGTTGCTCAAATTCTTATTTTTTTAAAAAAAGAAAAGATGGTAATAATAGCCGTTGCTTATTGCACTCCAGACACTGTACTGGAGACTTTATGTACCTACCAGTCAATCGTCACAACCCTGTGAATGAAGTATCGTTATCGTGCCCATTTTACAGATCAGGAAATTGAGGCACAGCAAAGTGAAACACCTTGCCCAAGGTCACACCGCTGATATGTACAGAGTCGGGATTTGAACTAGGCACTCCGGCCCCGTGTTCTCAGTCAGACGGCCTCTCTGAAGCTCACCATAGCACTGTAATTTAAATATCTTTGAAGAGATCATGAGGGGATGGGGACCAGGAGGATGGAGGAGATTGGAACTTTTTTCCTCTTGGATGCTTTCGGCCTCTCCAATGTACTATTCTTTTCTGACTACACAGCCCTGGGTAGAGTCCTGGCTCCTGTGTGGGTGTGTGGTGTGGACAGGCCCTCTTGGGAGAGGAGGGGCCTGGAGAAGCTGGGGGATTCTTCCCAGTTTGAACTTTCAGGGGGTCTGAAAAAGGACAGGCGCCCCCAAGCAGAGCAGAGGTCAGGTGAGGCTGGAACAATGCTGAGAATAAAAGAGGTAGTTAAAAAAAAAAGTTTGCTATTATTTTTCATTTTGGAGTTGATTAGTAATATAAAAAAATGATTTCAGCTGAGCGTTTTACTGAAAAGGATAAATTGCCATGTAAATTGTTTTTTTTTTTTTTTTAATTGGAAAACACTGAGCATGCCCGGATTCCATGTGTTTTCAGTGAATAGACTTAGAAGGTATTCGATATTTTCCTCTCCAGAGGGGCCTATTCCTTCTGTAGCCCTGAAGTGAAGATTTCTAATAGCAGCTACTTTGATGGGGTGATCCCTAGAATTAAGAGTTCAAATCTGCATTCTGGCCCTGGCTTTCTTTATTGTTTGGGTGTTCAGGGCTGAATAATCACCACCCCCACCCCGGGTCTCTCCTGTAACGTATCAAATGAGCATGGTACCTGCTCGGTCTACCTCACGGAGGTGCTTCGATATGTGCTCTTGGGGGGAATCACTCAGTGGTATGGATGCCCGAGGTAGCACCATCATTTTAAGGTCTGCTGTGGTTTCTGCTCCAGCCAGTGGGTGCTGTGAGTGATTGAGCATCTGGTCGCTTGGAAGCCAGATGTTTTCATCAGCAGAAGTCAGAGGGGATGGCAGGCAGCCAGGGGGAAACCAGGGCTTGAAAACCACCTTTAGGACACTTTCGCTTTTCTTGTGCTGACATCATGTGTGCGGAGGCCAGAATGATACATGTGTGTCGAGATGCCCCGGCAGCATGAGAACCATGGGGTCAATTTAAAAAGAGAGAAGTGGCAACTAGACAGCTGCTGTCTGCTGAGAGGGTCCGGGGACGTGGGGCAGGCAGGACGCAGATCACGACATCAGCTCTCTCACAGTCCACCACAGGGAGGGGCCCGCCACACCGGGCTCTTCCCTAACCGAGGGAAGATGAAGAATTTTCCAAGCACAGAATGAGTTTCCAGAACCTGCAGAATATAAGAAGTTAAGGTCTCTGCTGCTTTGCTTAAGGCACTGTGACCTTCCTTTCCAGAGCCTTCTGGTCTTGCCAGGGCTCCTGGGTCATTTAGTGGCGTCACACATGGCCGCGATCCCATAGGCAGCGGCCCTGAGGCCCCTTGGTGACATCGAAAGAACACAGGAGCGGTGGCTCCTTCTCCCCGGCTGTGAAATGGGGGGCGGGTGTGTGAGCGCCGTGAGTGCCTGCAGTGTGTGGGGTCACAGCCGGGGCTCTGTGGAGATGTCCCACCTGGGTTTTGGTGTAACACTGACCTTCTGCCCCCTCTGGTCTTGCCTTTCATGTACCACAGGATCGATAAACAGATAAGCAGGTTTCGGAGATGGTTACCTAAGAAGCCCATGAGGCTGGACAAGGAGACACTGCCAGACCTGGAGGAGAATGACTGCTACACTGCCCCTTTCAGCCAGCAAAGGATCCATCAGTGAGTGTGTCCTGGGAAAGCCCTCGTCTCCCGAACCACGGGCCGCTGTGAGAGAGCCTCTTCCTGCACGCCCTGGATTCCTTGGCACGTGCGAGGAACAGGGTAGTGCCCCCCCCCCCCGAGCGTCCTGTGAGTGTTCACGTCCCTTTCATATCAGTCAGGGTAAGCAAGCCGCTGTAACAAACAGTCCCCACATCTCAGCGGCTCAGTGCACTAGGACACGCATTCATGGGTGTGTTGGATGAACGACCTTCTGCGGGGCGATGCAGAGGCCCAGGCTCCTTCGGCCTTGTGGCTCTGCCATTCCTGCAGGCGCATCTGCACCCAGCCAGCAGCCAGGGAAGCTGGTCTACACCTTTCCCTGGTGAAAAGGGGGGTTGTTGATTTGTTTGTTTTAGATCTGAGTTCACGTCTCAGTTCCCCTTTCTTCAGCAACCGAGTTGCCCCAAGAAAAGCCGCATTGTCTCGCAGTCGGCATCCCGGCTCACCTGGCAGGCTGTCTCAGAACAATGAATTGTCTGTCGCTTTGGACATATAGGTGGTGGGAGGGAGAAACTGGCTATGTAATGGAGCCTTTGAGGAGTTGCAGAAGTCATAGAGAATTGACTGACACTTCTGAGATGACAGGAACTCCTAGCCAGATGGCAGGGTTGGCAGGAGAAGAAAAGAGCATGCCAAAGACGGTAAACAACTAGGCAAAATCAGCCTTTTAAAGGGGGGCTGAGTCAGGTCAGCCCAGCCTCTCTCTCAGCCAGACTTCAGGAATTCCTGCCTCTCCCTGCCCCAGCCATAGCAACAGCCTCAGTAAAAATGACACACCTGAGAGGAGGGACGAGATGGCAGATTTAAAAAAAAAACAGATTGCCAACTTTGAGAAAAAAATAAATCAAATGGCAGTTGACAAGTTGCAGGGATCACAAGTTGGGGGCACGTAGCAACAGAAAATCATTGGGAAGGTCTGTGGACTTCCAGAGAGCAAATGAGAGAAGAACAATAAAAAAAAAATAGATGTTCTGCATCAAAGTATTTAGTGTATAATGCAAGGGAAGCAGCTCAGGAAGCCTGTGAAATAACCCGACTCTGGATCCCCACAGGTCAGATTGATGCCAACCAGCCACATTATGTGAACACTTAAAAGGGTCATTGAAGAAGACATGAAACTCACAGCCTGAACTCAAAATTCTAGTTAAATCTTCCATGGGAAATAAGAGCTGAGAGGGACTTCCTGTTAACTCAGAGATCAGGATCTATGGTGTTTTCTTAAGCGAAAAAGACAGATGAAAGCTGACAAGTTCCTGCTTACTTTAAATCCTCGTTATGCCTGTGTTGTTCATCTTGAAGCTTCTTACACACGTGATTATTTGGTTTTAAATTCTTCCAGAGTAGGGTCTGATTCAAATCCAGATTTTCCCTTTGCTTCTCCCTGCCTGAGAGAGTGCCTAGCACAGTGCAGGTGGGTCTCCCGGAACAGTGCAGGAAGGATGGATGGATGGATGGATGGATGAATAGGTAGATGGATGAATGAATACATAATTAGGTGGATGGATGGATGGATGGATGGATGGATGGGTAGATGAATGGAAGGCTCAATGAATTATATAATGTGTACTCTTGTTTTACTTCAAAGACATATAGGTAACAGGTAAATGGAAGAGGAAAGTTTCCTGGTATTCATCTTTATGCTGGTTCTGTTTTCTGATGTTCTTGCTTTAGAACAAAGTTTCTCAGCAGGGTTCTCAAAGTCGGAAACACCTGGGCACCCATTAGGATCTCTGGGTATTAGAACCGGGAATCATATATTTAAAGGTGTTTTAAAATATATGATAAATGAAGATGATAGCCTGTGGGACAGGGGTATTCAGCCATCTCACATATATAAGAAACCTTTTTGGACATGTTTGGGTATTCACTGAATGACCGATTCATTCAACAGTTACGTCTGGTGTCTGCTTCTTGTCGGGCACTGTCTGAGTACAGAGGATATAATAAGGAGTACACAGTCTTGACCCCAGCATAGAAAGACAGAAGACCATTTCCAATCACTGTAAGCAGTGTAAAGGTGTGACTTAAAAGACAGCGATCCAGTCTTCAGATCTGTTGGGAGGTTGGGAAGAGACGAGGGCTGGTCACAAGAAGAAAATGCTTGAGATGGATCTTGAAAGATAACACTTGTCCAGGTAGACAAGGGGAGAAACACATCTCAAGAAGAGGGAATAATGCATGCATCAAAGAACAAAGGCGGGAAGCAATGGAGTGTTTGAAGAACCACAAGCAGCTTTCTGTGGATGGAAATAGGGTGTGAGAACACTTGTGTTACTGTTTGAAGAAAGAGGGTGCTCAGTGGGAGAAGATGAGCTTTCCGGGCAGGAGAGCTAAGGGAAAAGCAGGAGGACGGCTGGACGAAGCCAACCTACAAACCAGACCTCAGTGGGACCCACGGGATCGTGTGGGCAGTTCCAACATGCAATTGGAAGATGAAAAACTCAACAAGGTCTAGAATGTTATGGCACTGGGGATTTCTTTCTCTTTGAAAATTGTCATGCCACGTGAACAACATTCTTTTTTTTATCCTCACCTGAGGATATGTTTTTATTGATATTAGAGAGAGAAATGTCGATCAGTGCCTCCCGTATGTTTCTTGACCAGGGATCAAACCCACAATCTGGGTATGTGCCTGACCAGGAACTGAACCAGCAACCTTTTGGTGCATGGGTGACACCCAACCAACTGAGCCTTGCCGGCCAGGGCAAGACCCTATACTCCGAAGCATGATGCTCTGACACGGGATTTTTCAGACCTAGTGCTGTTGACATTCTGAGCCGACCAGCTTTGTGTGGGAGCTGGCCATGCACTGTAGGATGGTTAGTAGCTTCCCTGTCCCCTAGCCATTCGATGCTAGTGGCAGCTCCCTCCCCACTTAGTTGTAAAAATCAAAAAGCTCCAGACATTGCCCGGTGTTCCCTGGTGGTGGGGGTGGAGTGGGCACAAAACTGCACCCCTGTTCCCCCTGGATAACCACTGCTCCACTGCCTTTTGTTACATGAATCCCTTCAGGCAGGACCACCTCCAGTCTCAGATAAGTTCAATTCTAGTCAAATCTGATGACTAAGACAGACAGGTCCATTTAAAACTTAATTTATTCCTCATCACCTCATTGCCTGTGAATGTTGGCCAGTGCCACTCGCTTCATTCTTAGAATGGCATTAGCAGGTAACACCCTTGAGACAGTGACTTTCTAAGGTCAATACTCACAGCAGAGGGTTTGTGCTGGCGGAGAAAAGGAAACGTGGGAAAGGATCGTGGTTTTTATCATAGGTACGCAGAGTTTTCTTTCATGAAGTTGATGAAATCTAAATCGCCTTTCAGAAGACTGTTCATGGTAGATACAGACAGAAACATATCCCTTCCTATATTTTTATGTCTATCCGTGCCATTATTTTATTGTTAGTGAAAATCCATAAAAGGTGGGATAAGATTAAATGTTGACCGCTTCCTAATAGATGAATTCGACATTTGTGTTCGCTGTGGATTCCTGTGCTTCAGCTGGTGTTCATTTGCTCACAAGGTCCATTCCCACTGCTGTTCCGGGAGCCCGGGAGTCAGCGGGAAGGGAAAAGGCAGAGATGCCTGCCTCCCCGGAGCCGACGTTTCGGCTGGGGTCACTGGCGGGGAATTATAAATCAGTGCTTCTCAGTCAGGGAGGGATGTGGCAACGTCTTGAAATGTTCTGGGCTGTCACATCGGTAGTACTGTGGCAAACATTTCCGTCTACGTCCACTGGAAGGCACGTTAGGAGGTGATGAATGCTGTGGAGGAAGAGGGATGAGGAGTGGGGGAGGGGAGGGGAGATGCTGGCACCCGGGGGGGGGGCACCCAGAGTGCACTTTTTAAAAACTATCTCTATGCTTCGAGTTAGGCCTCAAATAGGAGGTGTGACTGCAGAAAGACCGGAAGGGGTGAGAGAGGGAGGGCGAGCGTGCCAGGGAGGGGACAGCCAGAGCGAGGCCCTAATCTGCAAGCACCTCAGGGTGTGTTTGGGGAAAAGAAGGTCTCTTGTGGGTGGAGCAGAAAAGAGACAAGATGGGCAGTAGCAACGAGTTAGAGAGGCAGTGGGGAGGCCAGTGATGCAGTCTCGTGGGCCACGGTCAGGGCTTTGGTTTTTACAGAGCAGTGATGTGGGTCTAACTGAAGTTCTTTTTTTCCTCACTTTTGTTGTATTCAATGTATTGGGGTGACACTGGTTAATAAGATTATATAGGTTTCAAGTGTGATGCATGAGCTGTAGATTACATTGGGTGCCCACCAACCAAAGTCAAAGCTTCTTCCATCACCATATGCTTGACCCCGTTTACCCTTTACTATCCCCCCAACCCCTTCCATCTGGTGACACAATACTGTTGTCTGCGTCGATGAGCTTTTGTTTGTTTTTCTTGTTTGTTCGTGTGTTGCTTTCGTGGATGGATCTTGAGACTATTGTGCTAAGTGAAATAAGTCAGATAGGAAAAGTTAAGACCCATATGATTTCACTCATATATGGGATATATAAAACACTCACTGAGCTTTTGAAAAGTACTATTCTAACTGCTCTGTTTACAACAGATTGTACAGAGCAAAGGTAGAAGCAGGGACCAGTTAGGAGGCAATTGCTGTCATCCAAGTGAGAGATGACATATTTATAGGTGCAGTTTGGTTTCTAGCTTTTCGAAGTCTATAATGAAGATATATACCACATATAACTCAGCATAACTCATGTAGAACTCTTGGCAAAGCTTGGTTGTACACAAAATATTGCTACGTAGGTCCTGTGCATACACGAGGTGGACGTTATGAAAAGACTCCTTCAAATGAAATTTGCTCACATGACTTTCTCCCCCTACTAGACTGAGCCACTGAGGACGGGAACTGTGTGTCTGGCATCGAGTGGCCCTGGAGAATGGCTGTAAGATCTAGCAGAGGACAGCAGAGTTGGCACTATGGCCACTGCTGAAGGATAGAGCCTG